TCCAGTGGCCTCACTCCACCTCTCCTATGTCCACCGACAGACCATTCTCAGCCTCAACTACTGCCTGGCTCCTTGCTCCCTGCTCCTGCTCCTCACACTAAGGTGACTGAGTCCCAAACTGAGCGTCGGGAGCCTAAGACTTGTGCTTCCACACCTGTTCGTGCTCGTCGTGTCACCCGTTCTCGTCCTCTTGCTGTCCCAGGCACTCACGTTATGGCACTTCGTCCTTCCTCTGTTCCACAGCGTGTTGCCCTGCCGTCTCCTCCGGCGTCCTCTCTTCATGTCATTCCTGACCCTGAGTCAAACCCTGCTCGTGCTGCCAGTCCTAACGTCACTCGTCTCCTGGCTACTATCGTCACTGACCATGACTTTGAGTCTACTGCTGCGTTTGCCATGGTCACTGAGCTAGTCGAGTTTGCTGCTAGGAGTCGTCTCGACTACGTCGCGAGTCTTATTACTGAGTTTAAGTCTGTCTGTCCTCCGTCCGACAGAGGTGAGCCTACCCTTAGCAGTGACGTCCTTGAGGACAGGCAATTTGAGCTTGAGTGTCTTGCAGCCACTTTACCTCGTTTTGCATCCATGCTGCTTTGCCCTGAGGGAGACCCGGATGCACTTGACATCCCTACCCCGCACTCTTATGCTAATGCGATCGCGGGTGAGTACTCCTCTCAGTGGCAGACAGCCATGGACGCAGAGATAGCTTCCTAGAAGTCCACAGGCACCTACATCGACGATGTTCCTCCTCCTGGGGCGAACATATTCAATGGCATGTGGATTTTCAGAGTGAAGCGGCCGCCGTGTTCTCCGCCTGCCTTCAAAGCGCGTTGCGTTGCTTGAGGCTTCAGTCAGCGATAGGGGGTCGACTTCTTCCAAACATTCTCCCCCACACCAAAGATGACTACTCTTCAGGTGTTGCTGCACGTTGCAGCACAGCGTGACTACGAGCTGCACTCCCTCGACTTCTCCACAACTTTCTTGCAAGGCAGCCTTCTCGAGGAAATCTGGCTGCGCTGCCCACCTGGCTTCACTGGGTCGTTTCCTACGGGTACCCAGTTGAGCCTCCGGCGGCCAGTCTACGGTCTCCGCCAGGCGCCCCGCGAGTGGCACGACACAGAGGACGACACTTGCGGCTCTTAGGTTTGCTCCTTCCTCTGCTGACCCATCGCTATTTCTACGCACCGACACTACCCTGCCACCGTTCTACGTCGCCGACTTGGTTTTTGCTACTGTTGACACTGAGGCGCTGGCCCAAGTGAAGGCGGATCTTCAAGAGAGACACACCTGCACTGACGTGGGTGAGCTGCGGAGCTATTTTGGCTTGCAGATCACCCGGGACAGAGCACGGCGCACCATCAACCTGACTCAGTCACACATGGTGCAGCAGGTCCTTTAGTGCTTCGGCTTCCAGTACTCTTCGCCACAGCCCACTTGTCTGCCTACTGGCCACTCGCTCTCAGCTCCACCTTCGGACGAGTCCGTAGAGCCGGGTGGTCCATTTCTAGAGCTTGTGGGATGCCTCATGTACCTAATGACGTGCACACAACCCGACCTCGCGTACCATCTCAGCCTCCTGGCTCGCTACATGGCTCCGGGTAGACATCGAAAGGTGCACTGGGATGCTGCAAAGAGGGTACTGCGTTACTTGTGCAGTACATCATGCATGGGGCTTGTGCTTGGAGGACGGGGTTCAGTGGTACTCACAGGACACTCCGACGCTTCTTGGACCGACGACCAGGCGACTCAGCGTTCGTCACAGGGTTACACCTTCAGTCTTGGCTCTGGTTATATCTTGTGGAGGTCCACTCTGTGCTTGGTTCCAACTGTGAGGCCAAGATCTACGCTGGGGCTATGGCTGCACAGGAGCTAAGCTAGCTGACCTACCTGCTGACCGATTTAGGGGAGCGGCCTCATTCTCCTCCAGTTCTGTACGTCGACAACAAGGCAATGCTTGCCTTGTGTCAGGAGCAGAGACTGGAGCACAGAACGAAGCACATTGTTCTTCGCTACTTCCTTGCTCGAGAGCTGCAGCAGTGTGGTCAGCTCCGCCTTTCCTACGTGGCCTTTCGGACCAACACTGCTGATGTCTTCACCAAGGCCCTTGGGTCTGGTGATCATCAGCGTTTCTTCACTGCTCTTGTGCTTTTGCCCACTCTGCCTCACCTGCTCGTTGCTTGACTTGCCTTGTACTGTGGTCTCTATATATATACCTGCATGCTTGCTCTTGCTAGGTTGTGAACACTATACTGCTTGTGTTTTTATAACTCTGCATGTGAACTGTCCTTGTGGCCACTTGCTTGTGTGTGGTGATCTTGAGATCCACCCTGGGCTTTGCTTTGTTTGCTTCTCCTAACTGGTCTTGTGACCATTGTTTGGTTTTGTACCTGGCGCTGTTATCTCACGGGAGCCGACATCACGATCAGGACAGACCACAAGTCATTAGAGTACATGCGCAGCCAACCACTGCTCAACCCGCTACAAATCCGGTGGCTCGATTACCTCGAGTCAAGCTTCCGCTACACCATCACGTACAAGAAGGGCGCCAACAACATTGCCGACATCCTGACCCGCCCATCAATGCAGATTGCCGCTATACTAATCGCCCATTTCAACCTATCAAGGACTCTTCAAGCACGGATACAGGACCGACCGGTTTTTCAGGACGAATCAACACCAACGGGTCACCACGCCACACGGGAGTTATTACCTAAAAGTTGGTACCAACAGAGTTTGGGTACCTTCATACCGACCCTTACGAGAGCTGCTGACGCAGGAGGTTCACGACTCTAACCTCTCCGTGCATTTTGGCGTTGACAAAACACTGAAGTTGTTGTAGTGGAATTGTTACTGGCCCGACATGACGTCGGACGTGCAGCGCTACGTGTCAGCTTGCCCGACCTGCCAAGCAATGTAGTCATCACGACAACGCCCAGCTGGGTTGCTGCAACCCCTCGAGCCACCCGAACGACTGTGGCAACAGGTGACGATGGATTTCGTCACGGAACTACCACCTGGCGCAAGTGGCAACGACTCCGTACTGTTCATCGTCGACCGCTTAACGAAAATGGCGCATTTCGCACCATGTCGCATGATGATCACCACCGAAGAAACTGCAAAGCTGTTCATCTCGACCGTCGTCAGACGACACGGGTTACCGTCGGCAATCATCAGCGACCGAGAACCGAAATTTACGTAGAAGTTATGGCAGGAAACGTCGGCACAGTACGGCACCCGCCTGCAGTTTTTGTCATCATACCACCCGCAAACTGACGGACAAATCAGACTATGGAGCAGTTGATTCGCACGAACTGCCCCGACCTCACCAAATGGGAAGATTTACTTCCCATGCTGGAATTTGCGTACAACAATGCACCGTCTGCGACAACCAATCAGACGCCATTCTACCTCAATCTTGGGATAGATCCCATGGTACCCTCTTCAACGACCCCCAACAACCCGGTACCACAGTCGCAGCAATTCGTCTCGGAACTTCAAGGAGCCCGCGACAAATCAACAGAGTTTATCCGGAAGGCTAATACTGTTGCCAGCCGCTACGCTGACAGGCATAGACGGAACTTACCCTTCTGTGACGGGCAGATGGTCCTACTGGACACCAAGAATCTTCGCCTGCCCCAACCCGCAAATCTACGTCCCCGCTACGTGGGACCCTTCTGCATCATTCTGATGTTGACCACGGTCACGGCGAAATTATTGCTACCGGATGACTGGAAAATCCACGACGCTTTCCACGTCAGCCTGCTCCTCCATTACGTGGCTCCGCAGTCGTCCGACATCGCCCGCCCCAACATCGCGCCAAGTGTTAGGCCTGTGGCAGACCCGACATTGCAGCCCTGGAAGATTTTAAATCATCGCATACGTGCGATGCCGGCTGGACGGCACATCGATTTCCTCCTACGCTGGGTGGATCGCACAAGTGAAGATGACACGTGGGTCCCCGCTGACTCACTACAAGGCCACTCGGTACTACGGGATTATCTTTCCCGCCAACGCGTGCCTGATATTGACCACCTTCCTTACTGAGGAACTCTGTGCGCGAACAATTCCAACTTTCGGACTTCAGGCTCGATCCGACGACCTCACCTTCCGAACGTCCCTCGCGTCGCCTTCGGGTTTCCCAACCCCAAACCTGCACCCGACCTTGCACGGTCCCGCAACCACGGCCTAGCTAGCCCTCGCTATATTTTCCCTAGGCCTCATTATTTGCTCAGTAGTTGTAATCAATTCCGCGATATTGCATTATGCGCACTCTTTCATAACATCTCCCCTACGTGTGTTACATCACAATTCACCTCCTCGCACCGTCCCAACGCTGAGGCCGCTTCGTCAGCGCAACGCACATCAGCTCAGCCCGCCGCACTCGTAGGTGATTGTCGACTGGACTTTTACAAACCCCGCGAGCCTCCTCAGTGCCGCCTCGCACACCCCGCACATACCCACGCGTCGCGTCGAGCCTGCAGCACAGCCGTGCATCTATTCGCCGTGCGGCGTCAAGGCGTGTCGTTATCCATGGCAACTTGTGTCAGACTCACTCTCATAGGTGCAGCCATGTCCCTTTGCAAGCACACACGCATACCAAACACACCGTACGTTCCGAACCATGTATTCTAAACCTCCGTGCATTTCGAACCGTGCGTTCCAAACCGTGCCTTCCGAACCGTGCCTTTTAAACCGTGCCTTCCGAACCGTGCGAACTGTTCCTTCCGAACCGTGCCTTCCGAATCGTGCCTTCCGAACCGTGCCTTCCCGAACCGTTCCTTCTGAACCGTTCTTTCCGAACCGTGCCTTCCGAACCGTGCTGAACCTTGCATCACATCCCTTGCCCACTGCGTTGGCGCCGGTAATCGTCTTGCCGTGTGCATTGCCCATTGCATATATCCTCCTCTACTCGCCATCCCTTTCCCTCTTTCCACTTCTACTGCGTCCTTTAAACGTGCTTGTAGCGAATGCAGAGCTAGTGTGTCGCCTGTGATGATCACTCCAGAATGGCTAAGCACGTCTACCAATCTCACTCCGCCCTGCGCCTCCTCCTGTTCCTCCAGCTCTGCTCGCGCGTCTCACTCCACTGTCTTCATGCAGCTCCCCATCTCACTTGCAAGGCCTTTCTCGCCCACAAGTGAAGGCATTTCGCTGCATGATATGAACATGAAAAGCTCGTGGGCGAGCTAATCTCGGAGTGAAAAAGTTCCTCTCCACCATCCCCCTCTCTCGTCTCGCCTTGGACACAGTGCCGACACTTCTAGCACGTCTTACGGGCCTTCACATGAGCCCGAGCAGCGGGAGGGGCATGGCTGGTGCGCGCGAGGAGGCGTGGGCAGCTGGGGAGGCAGCGATGAGGGTGCTGCAGGCGGTGATGGGCGAGGTGGCAGCGCTGCAGCGAGAAGTCGCATCTGTGTCCCACGGTGGGAGGTGGTGGCAGTGAAGCACAGTGTGGCAGACGAGGTGGCAGTGCTGCGGGGTGAAGTGGCAGTGGCGTGGGAGTTGGCGGCAGTGAGGAAGAGGGACGTGCATCGGCTGACAGGCGAGGTGGCAGACCTGAAGAGAGAGCTGGGGGGGGTGAAGGTGGTGATTGGTAGCGAGGAGGACGAGAGCAGGGAGATGTGGCACGTGTGGCAGTGCTGGCTGCTGCTTTTGGCTCGTCCCAGGTCCTGTGCACATTGCACTAGTCGTGCATGGATGGACCTGCATTTCTTCTTGGGCGCACGCGTAGTCTCTTGCATGCTCCTTTTTGTAGGCTCATTCAAATCTTGCACTTTTCTCTCTGCACATCCCGCTCTGCAGAAAATCCTGGTAGCATTGGAGGAGATGAAGCTAGAGCTGTGATGGCACACGTGGCCTCTCCGCCATCAACCTCTCCAACTCGTCCCCCTTTACCACCCATGGCCTTTCGCACCTCTACGCCCTCCCCGGCCTCACCTGCCTTGTTCTCTACACCCCTCCACATCACTTCCACCTTATTGCACACTCACCCCACCACAACCAGCCACGCTCGGTGCCCACTTTGCCAGCCAACCTCGCCACTTTAAAGGGTGCTATCAGTGGAGGTGGGAGTCTTGTCGAGCCCTCCGCTCCTCTCAAACTCATCCTCCTTCCAGCTCCCCATCTGGACCCCCCTCCTCCACCAACCAGCCACCGCTAACCAAGCCCAGGCGGATCGTCGATGGAGGAGCAAGGCAAAAGGCGGCAAGAGCTCAGCTCCCACACTCCCACCTTCTTCCATGCCCCATGTGTAATAGGCCTATCCCTTTAGGCCAAGCACCCAAGTCCCCCCCCATTCCCGAGCACTCCTTGGCACAGGAGCATGGGGGTGGTCCAGCCCATCCCGCCCGATCTTGTTAAATACTAAGCACCTAGGAAACTAGGTGTAGGCTTAGGAGGCATAGGAGCCATGCTAGAGTTGAGAGTCGAGAGAGTTTGGGTGACGAAAGTCGAGAAGGAAGAAGTGTTTGATAATGAGAAAAAGTACAAGGATATAGGCAAGAAGAAAGCCACATGGTACACACCTACAGCAAGTGAGATACACTACAGTCTACACTACAGACAGTTATAAAGAATATATAAATATATTCTAACACACCCCCTAACTGCCTGTAGTGAAGAACCTTGTGCACAACACCCCCTGAAGGGGTACACCCTGCGCAGCGGAAGAAGGAGAGGGCAAATGAGGAGGAGGCGGCTGATGCTGCAGCTGGACTCACAGCACCCCCTCAACCTCCCCCCGCACAGCAGTAGCAGCAGCAGTGAGGAGAGAGAGGAGGAGGCGTGGCGGGAGTTGCTGCAGCTGTGTCACCCACCACCCACATCCACTGAGCCTCCCCACCACTTCACACTCCCCCCCACAGCAGCAGGTGTGGCTGTGAGAGAGAGAAGCCAGGTTGGCGCTGTAGGTGCAACCTCCCCCTCACACCCTCCCCTCCCCTCCCCTCCTCCCCCCCGCACCCCAACTGCTGCACGTGCAGCAGGGAGAGGGAGGAGAAAGGGGGGGGGAGGGGGCGGGGTAGGGGCTGCGCATGGGGCTGCAGATGCGCGTGCAGAGGGCAGCAGGGCGAACGGGGCGCACAAGACAGCAGGGCGCGCGTGGCGTGCAGGGCTGCAGGGCGCGCAGGACAGAAGAAAGGGCTGGAGCGGCCGCAGCAAGGACTGTAGCGGCAGCAGCAAGGGCTGTAGCGGCAGCAGCAAGGGCTGTAGCGGCAGCAGCAGGGGCTGTAGCGGCAGCAGCAAGGGCTGTAGCGGCAGCAGCAAGGGCTGTAGTGGCAGCAGCAAGGGCTGTAGCGGCAGCAGCAAGGGCTGTAGCGGCAGCAGCAAGGGCTGTAGCGGCAACAGCAAGGGCTGTAGCGGCAGCAGCAAGGGCTGTAGCGGCAACAGCAAGGGCTGAAGCGGCAGCAGCAGGGGCTGTAGTGGTAGCAGCAAGGGCTGTAGCGGCAGCAGCAGGGGCTGTAGCGGCAGCAGGGCGCGCGGGGCGCGCGGGGCTGCAGGGCGCGCGGGGCGCACAGGGCAGCAGGGCAGCAGGGCGCACAGGGCTGCAGGGCAGCAGGGCGCACAGGGCTGCAGGGCAGCAGGGCGCGCGGGGCGCGCAGGGCTGCAGGGCGTGCAGGGCGCGCAGGGCAGCAGGACAGCAGGGCGCGCGGGGCGCGCAGGGCTGCAGGGCGCGCGGGGCGCACAGGGCAGCAGGGCAGCAGGGCGCGTGGGGCGCAGCAGGGCTGCAGGGCGCACGGGGCGCACAGGGCAGCAGGGCGCACAGGGCTGCAGGGCAGCAGGGCGCGCAGGGCAGCAGGACAGCAGGGCGCGCGGGGCGTGCAGGGCTGCAGGGCGCTTGGGGCGCACAGGGCAGCAGGGCAGCAAGGCGCGCGGGGCGCAGCAGGGCTGCAAGGCGCGCAGGGCTGCAGGGCAGCAGGGCAGCAGGGCGCGTGGGGCGCAGCAGGGCTGCAGGGCGCGCGGGGCGCACAGGGCAGCAGGGCGCACAGGGCTGCAGATCCCCTCCCCCCACCGCTGCACCCGCAGCAGGGGGATGGAGGAGAAGTGGGGGGGGCTGGGGGGGGCTGGTGCTGCAGATCCCCTCCGCCCAGGGAGAGAGAGAGGAGAAGGGGGGGCGGGGGGGGGGGGCTGATGCTGCAAATCCCCTCCCCCCCACTGCTGCTCCACTATCCGTCACCCCCCAGGAATGAAGGAGAAGGGGGGGGACGGGGGGGGTTGGTGCTGCAGATCCCCTCCCCCCCACTGCTGCACCCGCAGCAAGGGGAGGTAGGAGAAGGGGGGGGCGGGGGGGGCTGGTGCTGCAGATCCCCTCCTGCCTCCCCCTGAACCTCCAAGCTCCCCCCCCCCCCCCCCCCCCCCCCAACACAAGGTGCGGCAGGGAGAGAGAGAGGAGGAGGCGTGGCGGCAGCTGCTGCTGCTGAGGCACATCCGCCACCCCCTCACACCCTCTCCCCCCCGTCCCCATGGAGGGGGGGGAGGGGGGCGGGGGCGGAGCTGCGTGTGCGACTGCAGGGCACGTGGGCAGGAAGAAATCGTCACCCTTCTTGCCACCCCCTTACCCTCCATGATGCGACGGGGCACCGGGGCCGCGGCTAGGGGCGACAGGTCGCTAGGGGCCGAGGCTAGAGGCGACGGGGCCGCGGTTAGGGGCGGCAGGTCGCGAGGGGCCGTAGATAGGGGCGATGGGGCGACGGGTCGACAAGGGCCGCGGCTAGGGGCGACGGGGCCAAGGGGCCGAGGCGACGGGGCCTAGGGTCGCGAGGGGCCGCAGCTGGGGGCGACGGGGCCTAGGGGCCACGGCTAGGGGTGACGGGGCCAAGGGCCCGAGGCGACGGGGCGACGGGCCTAGGGTCGCGAGGGGCCGCAGCTGGGGGCGACGGGGCCTAGGGGCCGCGGCTAGGGGTGACGGGGCAAAGAGGCCGAGGCGACGGGGCGACGGGCCTAGGGTCGCGAGGGGCCGAGACGACGGGGCCTAGGGGCCGTGGCTAGGGGCGACGGGGCCAAGGGGCCGAGGGGCTCCAGCTAGGGGCGACGGGGCCAAGGGGCCGAGGCGACGGGGCCTAGAGGCCGCGGCTAGGGGAGACGGGGCCAAGGGGCCGAGCCTAGGGGCTAGGGACGACGCCAAGGGGCGACGGGCCGGGGCCTAGGCTAGCAGGGCAGTAGGTGGTGGGCCCATGAACATTAGGTCCTAGAAGCGACCTACTCTGATAGCATGTTAAATACTAAGCACCTAGGAAACTAGGTGTAGGTTTAGGAGGCATAGGAGCCATGCTAGAGTTGAGAGTCGAGAGAGTTTGGGTGACGAAAATCGAGAAGGAAGAAGTGTTTGATAATGAGAAACAGTATAAGAATATAGGCAAGAAGAAAGCCACATGGTACACACCTACAGCAAGTGAGATACACTACAGTCTACACTACAGACAGTTATAAAGAATATATAAGTATATTCTAACAGATCTCACTCCTTAACTCCCCACAGGTTCTCGTAAACATAGGGATGGAGGTTGAGGGGGTCACGGATGAACCTATGCAGGATGTGACTGGATCTCCACCCCATACCCCTCACCTCACCTTGGCTGGCAGCCCCTAACCGCCACCTGCAGACCAGGAGAGTGGCGAGGTGACGGCTCAAGGCCAAAACCACTCCCAACCTCCACCTTGCCTCATAGACGAGAGTTGTTCACCCCACACCCTATCCAAGTATCCTTCTTACCCCCAACCGCAGGTAGGGAGTCTGGGGGGACGGTGTCAAAGTTATGGGCTAATTTATTCGACATGTCAGAAAACATGTTAAGGTATATATTTTGATATTGTAACTACCTGTAGCTGTGTAGTTAGCGTTACAAACTGTTTGGTGGTCTACCTTGCCCACCCTTGCCTTGTATTTCTTCCCTCACAACTCTAATGTAACTCCTCTTTCCTCCAACTTTTGTTCCTAAACCCAGTCCTAGTTTCATAGCTTATTTACCTGTTATCAGAGCAGGTCTCGAACTAGGCCCTAAAATTCTTGCTCGTGTCGGGTACTCACGCACCCGTCCCTCCTCTGGCACCACCGTCTTGGTCACCCCTCCTTGCCACGCCCTCTGCAACATGCACTCACGTCTCCTTGTCTCTGGACTCCCCAGGTCCCTGCCAACGCTCCCGATGTCGCTTGCACCGCCATGCACCCCCTACGTCGAGGGGCGACAGCACATCGCTCCTCACTCCTCATCGTTTCCTCCGAATACTGCTCCTTTGCAGACGCTGCACATGGCCGTCTGGGGCCCTGCCCCCATCCCTGGGCCGCACAGGAAGCGCTACTTTCTGCTGGTCGTTGACGACTTCATGCGCTACACCAACATGTTTCCCTTCCAGCACAACGGAGACGTCCGTGCTGTTTTGATCCATTGGATCCGCGTTGTTCGTTGCCAGCTGAGCGCATGGTTCCGTTAAGACCTCTTGGTGCTCCGTCTGCACTCTGACCGTGGAGGTGGATTTTGTTCCCGTCTCCTTGAGGACTTTTGTACTGAGGAGGGTATCACGCAGTCGTTCACACTTCCGGCCTCTCCACAGCAGAATGTGATCGATGAGCGCCGCAATGGCTTGATCATGGAGGTTTCTCACACCTCCACAATCCATGCGGCTGCTCCCCATTTTCTGTGGTCGTTTGCGGTCCGGTACGCCCCCCATCAGCTCAACCTCTTGCCTTGTGTCTCTTAGCCGGAAACCTGGCCTACCCTAGTTTGGACGGGGGAGGTTGGCGATGCGTCGGCGTTTCAGGTCTGGGGTTTGCTTGCGTGTAAACTCTCCCTTCGCACCATTTGCTGTATCTTCCTAGGTTTTCCTGTCAATGCACCTGACTGGCTGTTCTACCACCCAGTCACACGTCGCGTCTTGTCCTCCTGCGACGTCACCTTTGACGAGTCGGTCTGCTACTACCGTCTCTTTCCCCACCGCGGTTCCTCGGTGCCCACCCCTCCCCCCGGTAGACCCCCTCCCCTCCCCTTTGCGTCCTACTCCCTCAGGTGTATCTTAGGTCGCACCACCTCCTATGGTTGAGCCTGTGGTGGACTCCTCAGACCCCGCTAGGCCGGCTGAGAGGGTTGACCTTGCTGCTGATGACACGGCGATTTCTCGCCATTCTCCGCCCTTGGAGACTCCTCCTCGTTTTCCGCCTCGGCAGTCTTCGCCACCTCTGCCGCCTGTCGCTGTGGAATCTAGTGTGATTGGGGTTGGTGACGCTGGAGGTGCGGGCTCTGAGGGTGCTGGACCTGGGAGTGGTGACTCTGAAGTTTCTGAAACTAGGGGTGATGCTTTGGGGGTGCTACTTCTGAGGGTGCAGGTTCTGGGGGTGCTGGAGCTAGAGGTGCTGGAGGTTCTGGAGCTGGATGTGTTGGAGGTTCTGGTTCTGGAGGTGCTGGAGCTGGAGGTGCTAGTAGTTCTGGTGCAGGAGGTGCTGGAGCTGGAGGTGCTGGAGGTTCTGGAGCTGGAGGTGCTGGAGCTGGAGGTGCAGGAGGTGCTGGAGCTGGAGTTGCAGGAGGTGCCGGAGCTGGAGGTGCTGGTAGTTCAGGTGCTGGAGGTGCTGGAGCTTAAGGCACTGGTGGTTCTGGTGCTGGAGGTTCTGAAGCTGGAGGTGCTGGAGGTTCTGGTGCTGGAAATATTGGAGCTGGAGGTGCTGGAGGTTTTGGAGCTAGAGGCTCTAGGGTTGTTGCACAGCAGCGGTCGCGGTGACCGCTTTTCTGGGACCAGCCGCAGTCGACCCTGCCACCACCTAGCTCGGCACTTCACCAGGTTCTTTGTCTTTGGTTTGACACTGTAGAGCCATCTGTCGCTGGTCCTACTCCTCTTCTGTGTCCACCAACTGACCCGTCTTAAATACAGTTACTGCCTGACTCCCCACTACATGTTCCTTCTCGTCACACTTAGTTGACAGACTCCTCGACTAAGCGTCCTGAGCATGCGTCGCGTCCTGCCTCACCTCTTGCTCGTACATCTCATGCTCGCCGTATTCATCCTCTACCTGTCCCTAGCATTCACGTCATGATCATTCGTCCTTCCTCTGCTCCACAGCGTGTTGTCTTGCCATTACCTCCCTCATCCTCCCTTGCTGACGTTCCTGATCCTGAGTCTGACCTTGCTCGAGCTGCTAGTCCGACTGTCACTCGTTGTCTGGCCACACTTATCTCTGACCCTACTTTTGAGTCTGTCGCTGCATCTGCCTTAGTCACGGAGCTCGTTGACTTTACTACTGCGTGTCGCCTTCACTACTTCGCGGGTCTTCTTTCTGAGTCTGGCTGTCCTCCATCCATCGGGGGTGAGCCTGCCCTTAGCTGTAATGTCCTTGCGGACAAGCAGGTTGAGCTGGAGTGCCTCACGGCTGCTGTACCTCACCATGCTGTCATACTACTTGCTCCTGAGGGAGACCCGGATGCACTGGACATCCCGACCTCGCGTTCTTACGTAGAGGCGATCACAGGTCAGTACTCCTCTTAGTGGGAGACAGCCATGGACGTAGAGATGGCTTCATGGAATTCCACAGGCCGTGAGAGTACTCCTATGGACGTTGAGTCGTTGCTCGGGCAAAAAAGCCGAAACAAGAATATCGGACGCGACGCGCTAAAATCGTCCTTTCTTTTTCCCGCTTGCCCCTCCCCGGCACGTGCCGAGCAAGGGGCATAAATGGGTACAACACGAGGACTTCCCGGGAGGTCACCCAGCCCAGTACTGCTCTCGCCCTGCGCTGCCATACGCAGACGCCCTGCGCATTCCGGAGGCGGAGTGGCAGGTGGCTTATCATGTCGTCTTGGTCTCCCTGTCCCCCAGTTAGCCCTCACAGGTCAGTGCTCCTGTGGACAGGCGATCGACGACATGACGGTGCCTCACCACGCGGTTCGGTGCCCACGATTCGGCGTCGCCACTGTCATCCACGACACGGTGAAGTTCGCGCTTCGAGACTTCGCTGTCGAGGCGGGCTTCGCGGTGAAGGTGGAGGACTCTACGCTGTTCACACACCTGGAGGCAGCTCGAGCGAGACTGCTGGGACAGCCGGTGGTGGGAGAGGGGACACGGGCTGGGGGGCCACTGGAGCAGGGGGCTGAGGCGGGACTGCCGGGCGGCGGGGCACAGTGGGGACAGCATCAGCTGCGGGGTCGGGTGGCGCGAGGGGCAGGTGGGCAGAGGGGACGGCAGGGGGTGCAGACCAGCCAAGGCGGAGAGGGGGGACAGCAGAGGCAGCAGCAGGAGAGCCAGCACAGGTCGCAGGCTCAGGGCGCCGCGCCTCAGGGTGTGGGCTCGGGGGTGGGGCAGGGACGAGAGCAGCAGAGAGCGGACGGGGGTACAGGGGGGGCGGGGAGATTGGGAGGTGAGGTTCAGGGAGTGAGAGAGGCAGCAGGGGATCGAGCAGGGAGGTTGGGAGGTTTGGGGGAGGGTAGAGAGGGGGAGGGGAGAGGACAGGTGGGTGGAGGAGAGGATAGGGGGAGAGAGACGACAGGAGAGGAGGCACCGAGGGACCAGACAGGGCAGCAGCCAGCGCAGCAGCAGGGACCAGCCGGACGCACAGGCCGTACAGGCACATCCTCCCGCATCCCAGACCTCACCTGCCGCGACGTTGGGCAGACTTTGATGGTTCTTGTGGATGTCTCCATAGCGGATCCACAGCGGGAGGGGAACGTGCAGCTGGGACGGGCGACCCCCACACAGATTGGAGTGGCAGCAGCTAGGCGGGTGCAGGAGAAGCTGCGTCACTGGGGGCCGCACTTAGAGGGGTTGCAGCCGACACCACACTTTTACGCGTGCGTGGCTGAGACCTTTGGCCTACTGAGCGAGCCGTTGCGTCAGTTCCTGGGGCTCTGCGCGAAGAGGATAGCACAGCGGAGGAGGGATTGGGGAGGAGGGGATGACGGATCAGCACGGATATTTGAGACAGGACTCACTACACGTCTCTCCGTGGCACTGCAGCGCGCGCAGGCTCGATGCATCTTACAGCATGCGGTGCGGCAGTTGGGGGGATCCGACGACGGATGGATGCCCGCACCCGTCCCACTGGGTGCGGGGCAGGGTACCTGGAACCATATCACAGGGTGCTTCGAGAGTGTTGCCGATATGCAATATATGTATGATGCATATGTGTAGAGAGTTTAGTGGCTGTGCTTGAAACGCTGTGCCCGCGTTTGTTGTGCGGGTTGCTGCCGTGTCTGGTCCCTTGGTGCTTCCTCCTCCTTAGTCTCTTTCCCTCTCTCCTCTCCTCTTCCCACCTCCCTCTTTCTCTTCCCTTCATCTATCTTTTCTCTTCTCTTCCCACCACTCTCTTCTTTTCCCTACTACTTCTTTTCACTCCTTGACCTTTTCTTCTTCTTTCTTTCTTCTTTTCCCTACAGACAATATATGTCGTCCTCATAGAGCAGTGGTTATGCCGAAATTTCCTCCTTTTGGAAAAACACTTATATTCGGCTTGTAATTGTATTTCCCTTATCAATAAATAACTGCTCTCGCCCACCGGCGCTTAGCTTCGGAGTTCTGATGGGATCCGGCGTAGTAGCCGAGGTATGATCGTACCACGTCGATCCCGTGCCCCGACCGGTACACACCCCTTGCCCGGGCCCCCCCCTTCATAGTCACACCCCCTGCCCCCTCATGCCATCTGCTCCCCCTGCCCCTAACCTCCGCATGCCCGCCCCCTCGCCGCCTCCTTTGACCCTCCCTGCCCCCCTCGCCGTTCCCCACCGCCCGCCATTCGTTCCTCCCCGCCCGTGCCCTCCCCTCGTTTACCTTCTCCTCCCCCCTCCCCTCCTCCGCTGCACGCGTCTTCCTTCCCCTCGCCAACCTACTCCACTCCCTGCCCCTCCTCAATCCGCACCCTGCCCCTCGTTTCTCGGCCCCCTGCGCTTGGTTTCTCCCCTCCCTGCCCCCCGCTGCCTTTCTTCGCTCCCCTCCTCCCCCCTCTCCCCGCTCCCCCACTCTCCCCCCCCTTGTCCTTGGCTTCCCACCTCCCTGCCCCATGTTTCCCCCCTCTGTGTGCTCAGCCTCTCCCCTCCCTGCCTCTCCCTCCTCCCCGCCCTGCCCCTCATTTTCCGCTCCCCCACGCCCGGTTTCTCCCCTCCCTGCACCTCCCTTTCTTTCTCCGTGCCTCTCCCTTGTTCCCTCCCTGCCCCTGGCCGCCCATGCCCCTGTCCTTGGTTTCTCCCCTCCCTGCCCCACGTTTCTTCCTTCCCTGACCTCACCTTGTACCCTCTCTGCCCCTCCTTTGTTTTCCCCGCACCCATCGCTTCTCCCCTCCCTGCCCTTGATTTCCCGCACCCCTGCCCTTGTTTCCTACCATCCACGCCCCCCGTTTCCGCCCTTTGTACGTTCAGCCTCTTCCCTCCCTGCCCCTCCCTTCCTCCCCCCTTGCCCTGTGCTTTCCCCCTTGCTACGCTGCCTTCTCCCCCTCCCTGCTGCCCTCTCACCACCATCAGCCCATCCCCACCCCCACCCCCAGCCCCCCTCCCCACCTTCCCCCCCCTCCTCCCCCACCCCCCCCCCCCTCTCTCTCTCTTTCCCCTCCCCCCCCACCCCCCACCCAACATCCTCCCATTCTGCCCCTCCCTGCCCCTGTTCCACCCCCTCGCACGCCCCTCACCTCCCACCTCCGTGCAACTGGTTTCCCCCCCCTGTGGTGCTTCCCTTGCATCGCTCGCCCCTCTGCTCACCCGCTGCCCGCCCCTTTTCCTTGCCCTCAGCTGGCCCAGCCCCTGCCCGTTGCTGCCCCTCCCCTTGCCCCCTCAACTCCCCTGCCCCCCCGTACACCCCACTCCCATCGAACCGCCCCCGCCCTCCCCCGGCTGCCCGGTTTCGCTCTCCACCCCCCCCCCCGACCGTGTGCGGCTTCCAACCGCCCAACGGTGGTGTGCACGGGGCGTTTCTTTGCACGGGCAAGCCTCCCCGGGGGGCCCCCACCCCGCTGAGTCGTTGCTCGGGCAAAAAAGCCGAAACAAGAATATCGGACGCGACGCGCTAAAATCGTCCTTTCTTTTTCCCGCTTGCCCCTCCCCGGCACGTGCCGAGCAAGGGGCATAAATGGGTACAACACGAGGACTTCCCGGGAGGTCACCCAGCCCAGTACTGCTCTCGCCCACCGGCGCTCTTAGCTTGACCTAGCTCTTACCTAGCCATGGCTACCTCCTAAGGAGCTTGCTAAGCCTACTATTTCGGGTTGCTTAAAGACAAAGTGATTGTGATAGTTGTTTTTATTATAGTTATAAGCCTTTTCAACGGTTAGTTTTCCATTTTCGACCGTCGAGTTCGACGGTACGGGGGTCGCGAGTTTCGCGCGCAGAGGGCAGTGGGACTGGCAGTACGAGCTCGGTCAGACTCAGGGTCAAGGACCGCAGGAAGAGAGGACTCAGGAGGAGCTGGCAGAGGAACGCGGAGAGGAACAGAAGAAGGACGAAGGGTCATAGTGTGCGTGCCAGGGACAGGAGGAGGACGCGAACGAGGAACGCGAAGAGCAGTGCGAACAAGCGAGATAGGACGAGACGCAAGCTCACGACCCTCTGTAAGACTGCCAGACTGCTCAATGTAAGGAGAAGGAGCAGGCAGTGGAGAGGCCGGCTGTAGTGGCGGCTGTGTCTGGTCAGGCGGGGGACACAGGAGGGGAGGAGTAAGGGCAGCAGAAGGCGGGGTACCAAGTACCTGCTGGAGCAGGGGAACGAAGTACGGTCGCGGCCGCACAGTGCCACCAGGGTCAACAGCTCCAGCTCCTCCAGCTCCAGCACCTACAACACCAGGGCCTCCAACCCCAGCACCTCCTGCGCCCTCAGGAGTCTCGGAAACGGAACTCGCGGGGTGTTACGGAACCGCTCGTTCGACCCCGCCATCGCGGGAAGGCTGCGGACGCGCTCCAGCGGGTGTAACGGGAGGTGGGGCGTTGACGCGAAGTTCGCCCGCGGAGAGTAACAGCGCGCGCGACTCACTTCCACAACTCCGCCAGACACGGTGTTCCCGCCCACCCCCTCTCTCGACACTCACCCCTATCCCCCCGCTCTATTCTGCCCACTGCTTTTCTATTCGAAGCGATTAGCTATTACTTACATTTCACACGATCGACGAGCAACCACCCCTTCTCGCGTCATTTTCTCACGTCTTAGACCCGCGATCTGACTCCCTAGGGACCATTTTCCTAGTTTCCCTCATTTTCGAAACCCTAATGTTCAGACATTAGACGCGCGCTTCGGCTCTTTTTTCCTCATTTTCTCGTTATACCGCATTTTTCGCGCTCGTTCGACATAGCGCGCGCCGTTTTGCCCTAGTCGTGAACGCGCTAGCTATTTAGCGAGGCCGAACAGAGGGTCAGGAGGCCGCGAACGCGTTTGCTCGTGCATCGCGTAGGCGGCATCCCTAGCCTCTTCTCTGTCGCGCAGGACACGAGCCACGCCGCGGCCTTAGCCTAAGCGGCTAGCACGGCCCGCATAGCCGCCGCCACACTACCCGTATAGCCGCCGCTAGCACAGCCCGCATAGCCGCCGCTACTAGCACTGCTCGCCGCGGTTAGCTCTGCCTGCATAGCCGCCGTTAGGACTACATGCACAGCCGCCGCCAGCACTGCCCTCACTAATGCCGCCATCACTACTACCGTCCGCAGCTCTCTCACTGCCCCTAGCTGCCCCCACGTTTAACCCTAATCTGCCGCAGCCGTTTTCTAGTCTACTCACAGCGCCTCAGTTTAGGCACATCACACCCTGTACGCCCACCCAACATTTCACCTTGAGCATACGCACGTAGACCATCGAGCAAACTTCGTTCAAACCAAAAACAAAAGCAACAAAGAAGCTATAAGAAAAAAAAAAAAAAAAAACAAAGATTCGAACCTTCTGCTCTTATACCAGCAGCTACCATTCGTTCTGTTCTCCTTTCCCCCCACACTGCATCTGCTTTCTCCCCCCCTGTTCCTCTCCCTTGTGTCCTACCCCGACCTACCCCGTCCCTTCCCCAAGCCCAGCCGTCCCCTGGCCCCTTCCGTTTTGACACTCTGTGTCCCCCTTGGCGGGAGCCCCACTCTCCACTCCCCTGTATGCTCCTTCCCCCCCTTCCCAGCCCGCTGTCCATCCAGGGCCCTGATTCATAGCTCATCCACACCCCCCCTGCCGCCTCTCTCTCACTTCCCACACCTCCTACTCCCCTCCAGGCATCGTATTCCCCACTCCCTACCGTCCCTCCCCCCACCACGCTACTCACCCCCTCCAGGAACTCAGCCCACAGACGCCAGGCCCGGCTCCCCCTCCCCCCTCCCCATCTCAGGAACGCACAGATACCTCAACTCCCCCCCCCTCATACCTCCCTGCCCCGACCATGCAGCTGCCATAGCCATGCCACGCCGGCCCCCCAATGTGGGAGAGGCCGGCCCTGGTTCAGCCCGACGCTCCAGCAGGACCCAGGGCCGCCCTTCCCCCTATCCCCCCCCTGCGCCCCCTTCCTATGTTAAGGGAAAACAGGTCACCCGCGACCAGTCACCCACAGGCGGCACACACACTGACCCCAGAGGTAAAAAACGAGCCATAGAAGAGACAGGGGCCCAACCACCACCGCACCAGCAGGAACAGGACCGCGAGGGTGCACACCCACGCTCCAAGACTCGGCACATCCCATCTGTCCCCCCACAGCCCCCCCCTCCAGGTGGCGATGACGGTGCAGCCCAGCAGTCCAAGGATTCACCCTCCACCACACCCACCCGCACCCATACCGAAAAAACTAAATCACACAAACAAACAGAAGTACCGGACCCAAACCTTGGGAACACAACAGGCCCCACCCCCACTGGGGGGCTGAAAGGTAGAGCAAAGCAGGCCCGACCCGTGCCCGAGAGAGGAGGGGAGGGGAAAGGGAAAGCCAGGGCTCTGTACCTGGACGTGCATGAGCGTAGCGCCGAGCGTAAGGCCGAGGCGAGCGGGACTGCTGCGGGAAAAAGGGCTGGGGCTGCGGGAGGTACTGCAAGGGATGCCGTGGGGGCAGCACGGGATGCTAGGGGGACACCAAGGGATACGGCGGGGACAGCAATGGACACGGTGGGGACAGTAGAGGCTCCTGAAAAGGGCACGTCAGGGGGCGTGACTCTGGCCAGGCAAAGGGCAGAGGCCATGGAGACAGGTTTTGCAGGAGAAGGGGCTGCAGGACCCGCTGCTGTTTCGGCTGGAGGAACCGCAGCAGGGGAAGCTATAGGGACCGCAGCAGGTGAGGCCGCACAGACCGCAGCAGGTGAGGCTGCACAGACCGCAGCAGGTGAGGCTGCACAGACCGCAGCAGGTGAGGCTGTAGGGACCACAGCGGGTGAGGCTACAGGAGAGACCATGGCAGGTGAGGCCGCAGGGACCGCAGCAGGTGAGGCGGCAGGGACCACAGCGGGTGAGGCTGCAGGAGGGACCATGGCAGGTGAGGCCGCAGGGACCGCAGCAGGTGAGGCCGCAGGGGCCGCAGCAGGTGAGGCTGAGCAGATTCTAGCAGGTGAGGCTGCACAGACTACAGCAGGTGAGGCCGCAGGGACTGCAGCAGGCAAGGCTGCAGAGACTGCAGCAGGTGAGGCTGCAGGGACCACAGCGGGTGAGGCTGCAGGAGGGACCATGGCAGGTGAGGCCGCAGGGACCGCAGCAGGTGAGGCTGCAGGGACCGCAGCAGGTGAGGCTGCAGGGGCCGCAGCAGGTGAGGCTGCACAGACTACAGCAGGTGAGGCCACAGGGACTGCAGCAGGTGAGGCCGCAGGGACTGCAGCAGGTGAGGCTGCAGGGACTGCAGCAGGTGAGGCTGCAGGGACTGCAGCAAGTGAGGCGGCAGGGACCGCGGCAGGTGAGGCTGAGCAGATTCCGGTAGGCGAGGCTTCACAGACTGCAGCAGGTGAGGCGGCAGGGACTGTAGCAGGAGCGACAGGGGCCACGGTGGGGGCTGGTACAGGGGGAGGTGCTACGGGGGCTGCAGCGGGGAAGGGTGTAACGGGGACTGGTGCGAGGGAGAGTGCCGCCCCGGCTGTAGCAGGAGAGGGTGCGGCAAGGGCCGGAGTGGGAGAGGGGACAGCAGAGGCCTCAAAGGCAGAAGGTGAGGCTGCAGCTGAAGCAGCAGGGAGGGCCATAGCACGGCCAGTAGGGGCGGCAGGGGCCGCAGCAAGCGCGGTGGAGCACACAGCAGGGCCGGCAGAGACTGCAGAAGGGGCTAGCAGTAAAGAGACAGCAGGTGGGGTGGGCTCGGGGGACATAGGGGCAACAGGGGGAGGAGAGGCGAGCGAGGTCCCAACCGGGGGGGCCACTGAAGGGGGGGATGTGATAGTGATAGAGGAGGATGAGGTAGAGGACGGGATGCACATCGACGGGCCACTGGCCCACTACCTCACGCTTGACGGCGAGGCTGACTCGGCCCCCCTGCAGCCTCATGTCGAGGTTCCCCCTCTCCCCCCCATGCCCGACCCCATGCTAGCAGATGGACCGGTGGAGGGGCTGGAGGAGACTTTGAGGACAGAACCTCGCGAGGGAGACCCCATCCTTACCCCCCGTCCTCCAGCCCACCCCCCCCCAGGAGCACCACTTCCCCACCCCCACCCTCAGGTCCCTGTAGCATCCTGGGGGGCAGCCAAGGCCCTGGCCTTCTTGGCGGAGCCGTGCTCCCCGACCCCCACGCTGTTCCATGACCAGCCCCCCTCTCTGTCCCCAACGCCTGACACCACGCTTACAGACGGTACGCCAGGAGAGCACGCGGGCACGGCGAGGGCAGAGCCTCCTACACCCAGCCCCATCCTTGCCCCTCACCCCTCCTCGCCCCTTTCCTCTCCCCTAAGAGCAGCACACTCCCGCCCCCACCCTCAGGGGCTCCCTCTAGCATCACGGGGAGCAGCCAGGGCCCTGGCCTTCTTGGCGGAGCCGTGCTCCCCGACCCCTAACACCATCCAGTCACCCCCCACCAGCCCACTACCCCCACCCCCTCCAGATCCTCCCCCACCCGGGGCTATGCACATTTCAGAGGTTCAAACCTCAACCCTGCCACACCCGCCTCCATCCGCGCATTGCCCCACACCCTACACACACCCAAATCACCCAACTCGCCGCACAACCCCAACCCTCCCACCCTCCTCACACCAACCCCCCCAAGCATCCAAGTCCCAACCACAAGGACCCCTGCCCCTAGCTCAGGGAGGCGACGACACCATGGGCGCGGGGCCCACAGGAGGGGTTGCCAGTGGGAGGGGCTCTGGTGCCAACGTACAGCATGGGGGCACAACCTCTGAACCTCATTCCCCCCTCAATCCCCCCCCTTCCACCACGCAGCCACCACAGACCTCACTCCCTCCACCACAAGCACCACGCCCTAACCGCTACATTGCTCCAGCCCTTCGCCCCCCACCCACAACCCCCGCCTACAGCCTGCCTCACCACGAGTGGCCCCGTTGGGCAGACATCGCCCCCCACATACAGCCCACCACGGAGGGTGATGTCATGGGGAGAAGAGGGATGCACACTGAGCTTCCTCTACCTAGCCAACCACCCATCCTCCCCTCACCCATCCCCTTAGCCTCTCAGCCCGCCCTTCCCTCACAACCAGACAGGGACAACCAAAACCAGGTTGGCCGTCGACGGAAGAAGAAAGGCAAAGGCGGCAAGGGGCCAGCTCACCTACTCCCCCCTCCCTCCCTTCCCCTCCAGCCGCCCCTCCTCACCCCACATCCCACTGAACCTGCACCAGGCCCTACCCCTACATACCAACCACCAAACTCACACCCCCCTCCCGTACGTGCCCCTCCACAGGGCCATGGGAGCGATCCAGCCCACTCACCGCCGGGCCGCCTCTCCCTTCCTCTAAACACCCCCCAGGTGGCGGCAGCCGTGTGCGCTGCCGGGATGGAGGCCGACGGGATGAGGGATGCGCCCATGGCAGACGCCACCGACTCCCCTTCCCATGCCTCCCACCCCATCCATGTCGACAGCCCCCTACCACAACCCATGGTCATTGGGGAGGGCCAAGGGGGCTTTCTAGGGCAGGGTCCACACCCGGGCTCTGCTCAGCCAGCACGCCCCACCCCACCCTCTACCCTGCCAGCCCTCCTACCCTCACCAGCAGGCAGGCGGGTCACCGGGACCCCAGAGGAGGTGAGGGCTGCCATCTCAGATCTGCTGGCGATACAGAGCCCGAGCAGCCCCCCGGCTGCCCCCACCCTACCAGTCCCACAGGTCCGGACCCGGACGTATGCGGAGGCCACCCGTTCTGTCCCTTCTTTCACCCCCCCCACTACTCAGCCAGGCGCGTCACTCCCGTCCCCGATGGAGACGGACCTGGTTCCGAGGCCGTGTCATTCGCACCTAGACGTGGCGGCGCCTCCCCCCGTTCAGCCCGTTGCCGACACACTACCCGCGACGCAGGAGGGCACCAACATTAGGGATGAGGCATCGGCCCCTGCCGAGACCCCTCCGCCTGGGGTAGCAGAGCCGCCACTTGGACCGCACCCCGCCGAGGGACAGGGGCACACCACGGCACACACTTCTGGCTCACCTCCACGTCCCCCCCCCCTAGCTTCGGGACCGGTACCGCCACGAGGCCCAGCCCCATCCTGTGTGGCACCACCTTTATCTTGTCCGACACCCCCCCTGCACGGGGCCGGCGAGTCCTCTCCTCCCCTTATCCCAGGTGATCCTCTTGGAGTTCAGGCCGCCCATGGGGTCCCCTCTACAGCCAGTTCCGACGCCACGGCCCCGATCGACCCCACCGACACGGCGACGTCACCCGACCAGGTCGTGAGATGCCCCACCTGCAGGAGCTCTCTCGCGAACCGACGCGCGCTTCAGCACCACACGCCCTTCTGCCATCCTGCGGACGCAGCTCGTAGGGCACAGGCCCTCCACGACACCTCATCTGTCCTCCCATCCCTCTCGGAGCCACAGGGGACGAGGACGCATTTCACAGATGCACAGTGGCAGACGTTGGACTCCTTCGACTGGTCGGAGTATTTCTCGCCAGAGTGCACCCACGCCCGCCCTCTCCGACGCATTCCAACTAGGGTTCGCGGAGGATATCTTGACGTCCTCTGCACGATCTTAGCCCGTGTATCCCAGTATCCCGAGGCTCCGGGCCCTACCTTCCTCCTCGCCGCTGCACCCACACTTCTCCTCACGCAGGCGACCCCGCCAGACCGCTCGCACACGACTGCCATCGCAGCACGGGTCTCCCGCTTCATGCGAGGTGAGTGGACAGAGCTACTCTCTGAGGCCCTGATCCGTCGCACCCCCCTTCCTCGACGCACATCCCGGCGCGCACGTCCGGTCGCCACCCAGTCCACCGCAGATGAGCGTCGCATTGCACGTTGCCTCCGTCTGGCGGCGTGCAATGAGACCTCACGGGCCTGCGCGGCTCTTGAGTCCGCGGAGGCCGCCCCAGATACACAGGGGACGACGCAGCACCTGAAGTCGAAGCACCCCAACGCGGAGAGGCCGACCCCAGCTTGGCTGTCGGACTACCAGGGGACTGCTCTCGTGCTCTCGACGGATCACCTACGTCGCGCCATCTTCACAGCTCCGCGCGGCTCCTCGGGGGGACCGTCCGGATGGGTTGCTGAGCACCTTCGAGACACTTTCTTGGCTTTCCCTCAGAGTCTCCCCTCTCTTCTAGCTGTGTACCAGCAGTGGCTCCGAGGTCGTTGCGCTCCAGCTACGCGCTCTTTACTGGCGTCTTCCACCCTCGTGGCTCTGGCGAAATCGAACATGGATGTTCGGCCGATTGCCATTGGCGAGGTGTTGGTCCGCATTCTTTCGCGAGCAGTTTGCCTCCAGCTACGCGACCAGATGGCGAGAGTCTTCTTGGCGCCCCAGCAGTTTGGGGTGGGGGTGACATGTGGCACAGAGGTCGTAGTTAGAGGTGTCCGCCGTGCTCTGGCTGACCACCCGGACTGGGTGGTCCTGCAGCTAGACGTGGCGAACGCCTTTAACTCATTTCACCGAGACATGATGTTCCAGGCTTTGCAGGCCAGCCCAGAGTTCCAGTGCCTCATCCCCTTCATCGGCCTTTTCTACGGGACGCCCTCGGATCTCCACTACAGGACAGGTGAGGGAGTGGTCACGATGCACTCGGAGCGTGGCAGTCGCCAGGGAGACCCCCTCAGCCCCTTCCTGTACGCTCTGACACAGCGACTTGCCCTGGAGCCGGTTTTGACGGAGGGCGATGTCCAGCTCTGGTCGTACGCCGACGACACGTCCATGCTAGGCCCCCTAGACAGGGTGCTACACCATTTCTCCGAGATCGTGAGGCGCTTGGGCGAGATGGGCCTCGCGGTCCAATCGCACAAGTGCCTCGTCTACCAGACTAGGATTTTTTTGTCCAGGGACGTGGAGGCATTCACGAGTCTTGGGGTCGAGGTCGCACGCCGGGGATTCACTGTGACGGGCGTGCCGGTGGGTACCGTTTCGTTTGTGGAGCGCAGCGTCCCGGATCGTCTCGAGAAGATGGGGCGGGTGCTACCTTGGCTTCCGAGGTTGCGCCAGCCCCAGACAGCTGCTCGCCTTCTTTCGGCATGTGTCAGCACTCGCCCCCAGTACCTGTCGAGGACTGTCCCTCCCTCACCCGCAGTGCTCTCCAGCTTCGCACGCTGGGACGCACACCTGGGAGAGACTTTTCAGCAGCTTTTAGCGTCAGGGACATGGGCATGCTGCGAGGACGTCAAAGATGCCGCCAGCGACCAGATCTTCCTCCCCATCCGCCTTGGGGGTTTCGGCATTCGTCGCATGGAGCGCATTGCCCCGGTGAGTTTCGTGTGCTCTTGGGTGCAGTGTGCACCCATCCTCTGTTCTCTCCCTGTGTGCGGTGAGGTCTTTCGGCAGAGCTTTGCTTCCGGTGAGACGGAGCAGATCGACCCATCCCTACGGACGACGCTGGAGGGCCTTCCACCTGACATCCTCTCTCTCCTCCCACCCTGGCCCTCTTGTGCCTCTGCCTCCCCCGATTCCCTTTTTGCAGGAGCGAGCCGCCTTCTGGAGGCGCATGCCTTGGAGGCCGTGCGTGCCCGTCACACCTCTCCCTTGCACCTTGCCCGTTTGACTTCCCTTCAGGGCGTAGGTGCAGGAGCGTGGCTGCAGGCGGTGCCATACGCAGACGCCCTGCGCATTCCGGAGGCGGAGTGGCAGGTGGCTTCATCATGTCGTCTTGGTCTCCCTGTCCCCCAGTTAGCCCTCACAGGTCAGTGCTCCTGTGGACAGGCGATCGACGACATGACGGTGCCTCACCACGCGGTTCGGTGCCCACAATTCGGCGTCGCCACTGTCATCCACGACACGGTGAAGTTCGCGCTTCGAGACTTCGCTGTCGAGGCGGGCTTCGCGGTGAAGGTGGAGGACTCTACGCTGTTCACACACCTGGAGGCAGCTCAAGCGAGACTGCTGGGACAGCCGGTGGTGGGAGAGGGGACACGGGCTGGGGGGCCACTGGAGCAGGGGGCTGAGGCGGGACTGCCGGGCGGCGGGGCACAGTGGGGACAGCATCAGCTGCGGGGTCGGGTGGCGCGAGGGGCAGGTGGGCAGAGGGGACGGCAGGGGGTGCAGACCAGCCAGGGCGGAGAGGGGGGACAGCAGAGGCAGCAGCAGGAGAGCCAGCACAGGTCGCAGGCTCAGGGCGCCGCGCCTCAGGGTGTGGGCTCGGGGGTGGGGCAGGGACGAGAGCAGCAGAGAGCGGACGGGGGTACAGGGGGGGCGGGGAGATTGGGAGGTGAGGTTCAGGGAGTGAGAGAGGCAGCAGGGGATCGAGCAGGGAGGTTGGGAGGTTTGGGGGAGGGTAGAGAGGGGGAGGGGAGAGGACAGGTGGGTGGAGGAGAGGATAGGGGGAGAGAGACGACAGGAGAGGAGGCACCGAGGGACCAGACAGGGCAGCAGCCAGCGCAGCAGCAGGGACCAGCCGGACGCACAGGCCGTACAGGCACATCCTCCCGCATCCCAGACCTCACCTGCCGCGACGTTGGGCAGACTTTGATGGTTCTTGTGGATGTCTCCATAGCGGATCCACAGCGGGAGGGGAACGTGCAGCTGGGACGGGCGACCCCCACACAGATTGGAGTGGCAGCAGCTAGGCGGGTGCAGGAGAAGCTGCGTCACTGGGGGCCGCACTTAGAGGGGTTGCAGCCGACACCACACTTTTACGCGTGCGTGGCTGAGACCTTTGGCCTACTGAGCGAGCCGTTGCGTCAGTTCCTGGGGCTCTGCGCGAAGAGGATAGCACAGCGGAGGAGGGATTGGGGAGGAGGGGATGACGGATCAGCACGGATATTTGAGACAGGACTCACTACACGTCTCTCCGTGGCACTGCAGCGCGCGCAGGCTCGATGCATCTTACAGCATGCGGTGCGGCAGTTGGGGGGATCCGACGACGGATGGATGCCCGCACCCGTCCCACTGGGTGCGGGGCAGGGTACCTGGAACCATATCACAGGGTGCTTCGAGAGTGTTGCCGATATGCAATATATGTATGATGCATATGTGTAGAGAGTTTAGTGGCTGTGCTTGAAACGCTGTGCCCGCGTTTGTTGTGCGGGTTGCTGCCGTGTCTGGTCCCTTGGTGCTTCCTCCTCCTTAGTCTCTTTCCCTCTCTCCTCTCCTCTTCCCACCTCCCTCTTTCTCTTCCCTTCATCTATCTTTTCTCTTCTCTTCCCACCACTCTCTTCTTTTCCCTACTACTTCTTTTCACTCCTTGACCTTTTCTTCTTCTTTCTTTCTTCTTTTCCCTACAGACAATATATGTCGTCCTCATAGAGCAGTGGTTATGCCGAAATTTCCTCCTTTTGGAAAAACACTTATATTCGGCTTGTAATTGTATTTCCCTTATCAATAAATAACTGCTCTCGCCCACCGGCGCTTAGCTTCGGAGTTCTGATGGGATCCGGCGTAGTAGCCGAGGTATGATCGTACCACGTCGATCCCGTGCCCCGACCGGTACACACCCCTTGCCCGGGCCCCCCCCTTCATAGTCACACCCCCTGCCCCCTCATGCCATCTGCTCCCCCTGCCCCTAACCTCCGCATGCCCGCCCCCTCGCCGCCTCCTTTGACCCTCCCTGCCCCCCTCGCCGTTCCCCACCGCCCGCCATTCGTTCCTCCCCGCCCATGCCCTCCCCTCGTTTACCTTCTCCTCCCCCCTCCCCTCCTCCGCTGCACGCGTCTTCCTTCCCCTCGCCAACCTACTCCACTCCCTGCCCCTCCTCAATCCGCACCCTGCCCCTCGTTTCTCGGCCCCCTGCGCTTGGTTTCTCCCCTCCCTGCCCCCCGCTGCCTTTCTTCGCTCCCCTCCTCCCCCCTCTCCCCGCTCCCCCACTCTCCCCCCCCTTGTCCTTGGCTTCCCACCTCCCTGCCCCATGTTTCCCCCCTCTGTGTGCTCAGCCTCTCCCCTCCCTGCCTCTCCCTCCTCCCCGCCCTGCCCCTCATTTTCCGCTCCCCCACGCCCGGTTTCTCCCCTCCCTGCACCTCCCTTTCTTTCTCCGTGCCTCTCCCTTGTTCCCTCCCTCCCTTGGTTTCAAGATTCAAGTGATTTCGAAGCTCTCCAAAAAGGGTAAACTTCAACATAGTGAGAATAGTTGCATTACTTTGTGTAGTGTAACATTTCTCTTGGTATAGGCCCTTGTGGAGGGTAGTTTCGAGACCCTTCGTGGTTGGGGACAGTGTGGCACTGTTCCACATCACTATACCTCGGCTCTTGGGGTTTGTAGGAGCTGGGAGTCATTCCCAACTCGTAACTCTTCCTAATTTGTGTTCTAAGTCTATAGTGGCTGCCATTGTGCCGCTCGTTCAAACCAACGTTGCGTCCTCAATACTTGCTGAAATCGTGTGATTTAAATTGCCTTTTGTAGGCGACATCAAGAGGCTCCAGATCCATGTTATAGCAAGTCATTTGAAGCTGTGAGCAAAACGCTATCAACACTTGAAGCCGCTGTGCAGAAATTTGTCTGTGCACTCTATCTTTCGTTTTAGGCACATTAATAACGACGCCGAGCATCCCCGCTGGGCAGAGCTGCTTAGGTCTGGAGTTGCTATCTTTGACCTAGACTATGATGCCATTCTTGCTGCTATGTATGCTTTGTCTGTGTGTGCCGCCTGATCCAGGTATAGAGGCTGCTGCTCTAGGTGCTAGTGAGTCTGCTCTCCCTGGTACTGCGCCTGCTGAGGACTTGCACACCTTTACGTTTGACTCAGGTGCTTCACGCTGTTCCTTTCGCGACAGCACCACCCTCACTCCTCTCTCTGCACCTGTACCGGTGAGACTGGCTGACCCCTCTTGGGGCCCAGTCCTTGCCCGTTCCTGCACTGTTCTCCTGTGTCTGGCGGTTCCGTTCGGCTCAGTGTCAAGTCTTCACCTCCCCTCGTTCTCTACGAACTTGGCGAGTACTGCTGCCCTCCATGATGCGATGGTCACTACCACCACTCCCGGGGGTCAGCGTGTGTCGATCTGCACGTGTACACGAACGGGCCGTCACCTGGCCACGTTCACTTGTCGGCCTGCGTCGAGTCTGTACACACACTGGCTACCGAGCCTCCTCATGTAGCTACGTCTGCCCAGGTGTCCGCGTCAGGTCTGGTAGCACCCCTTTGCTCGTGTCGCCACCTGTCGCACCAGACTCTCCAGTGGCACCACCGCCTTGGTCACCCCTCCCTGCCACGCCTTCGTGGTATGCACTCCCGCCTCCTTGTCTCTGGTCTTCCCAGGTCTCTGCCCCCCCTCCCGTCCTCGCCTGCCCCGCCCTGCCTTCCTTGCGTCGAGGAGCGGCAGCGTCCCGCTCCTCACTCCTCGTTTCCTCCTAGTTATGGAAGTTGCTCGTACCTCCATGATCCATGCGACTGCTCCCCATTTTCTGTGGCCGTTTGCGGTCTAGTACACCAGCTCAACCTCTGGCCACGTGTCACCTTGCAGGAGACCTCGCCTACACTGCGTTAGACGGGGAAGGTTGGCGATGCGTCGGTGTTCCGGGTCTGGGGTTCTCGTGCCTTTGTTTGCGATACGTTTGCGGACAAGCTCTCCGCCCGCGCTATTCCTTGCGTCTTCCGTGCCTTTCCCCTTGATGCTGTTATAGTCACAATAGGCTTGAATGTGCCTAAAACGAAAGATAGAGAGCACAGACGGATTTCTGCACAGCGGCTTCAAACGTTGATAGCGTTCTGCTCACAGCTGCAAATGACTTGATTCAAATTGGATCTGGAGCGTCATGACGTCGTCTACAATTATCAATTTAGATTGCACGATTTGATAAAGAATTGACGACACAGCGTTGGTTTGAACGAACGGTACTATGGCAGCCACTATAGTCTTAGAACACAAGATAGGAAGAGTTACGAGTTGGGAATGACTCCCAGCTCCTACAAACCCCAAGAGCCGAGGTACAGTGATGTGGAACAGTGCCACACTGTCCCCAACTACGAAGGGTCTCGAAACTACCCTTCACTAGGGCCTACACCAAGTGAAATGTTACACTACACAAAGTAATGTAACTATCTTCAATATCTTGAGGTGTACCCTTTTGGCGAGCTTCGAAATCACTTGAGGCTTGACACCAAGGCTCGGGCTCTTCATCAAAACTCATCCTTGAGTTCTTGATGGGTCTGCTGCACACACCTGCGACACGCCGAACGTTCGACACAGGACAAAATAGAAACAGCGCACGACAAAATAGAAACCGCGTAACACGCGTCTAGCGATAACTCGCTATTGACTCGACACACACACTCGACATCATGACTCAACATTCACACACAATTATAAGCATGAAATATATATTATCCCATGCCCTCATACCATTCCATACACACACACATTCACGCACACGGACAACAAGCCGAGTGCAAACCGTAGGGTTGCACCAACAAACTCCCCCTCGGATTGTTGGCCTTAGGATATGTTGCTCTCTCAGTTCAGAGCCATCCCAGCCAGCTTGCAACACTTCCAATGCTGCTGCTCCACCAGCCTCTTGGTCATCATGTCAGCCGGCTGCCCCGTGGTCTTCACGTAGCGCAACTCAACTTCACCCGCGGTTACCATGCTCCTCGTCCAATGCCACTTCACCCTCATGTGCTTCGTGAGTCCATGCAACACAGGGTTCTTAGCAAGAGCAATGGCACCCTGGCTGTCACAGTACAGTGGGGTAGGTCCTTGCTGCTCCTCCCCCAATTCAGCCAACAAACGCCGCTGCCACACAATCTCCCGTACGGCACGGAAGAGTGCCATGTACTCGGACTCCACCGAGCTCAAAGCTTGGTCAACCTGCTTCTTGCTCTCCCAAGCAGTTGGGCCTCCACCAACACAGCATATGAAGCCTCCCACACTTGTCATGTCCTCTGGTTCTGATGCATATGAAGCATCCGAGTAGGCGGTGAGGAACAAACGCCCGGGTTCAACACCATCCGCGCCCTTTTGGCGCCTTTGTGCCGCCGCCGAGTATTGCAGCCCAACGGTCGGTGTTTGGCCAAGATACTTGGCCACCCTCATTCCAGCTGCTACCTGCTCCTCATTAGGGCATTGCACAACCCTAGCCAGCTGCCCGGTAGCAAACGCGACGTCCGGTCGGGTGTTTACCGCCGCATACATGAGGCTGCCCACCAACGAGTGAAATCGGCGCCTCTCCTCTTCACCAACGCTCTCCTCCTCTGGTCCCTTCACACACTTGAACCCAGAGGGAAAGGGTGTAGCCACATGGCCTTCAATCTGCCCAAAGTTGGCAGCCAATGCCTCCAGGTACTTTCGTTGATGCACCTGCATGCACCGCTTCTCCACATCTCGTTCGATGTGGAGCCCAAGGTAGAAGCTCACGTCACCAAGGGCCTTGCACTTGAACTTGTCTTGAAGCTTCAGCATCACCTCCTTCACAAGGTCAGAAGAGGGTGAGAAAATGAGGATGTCATCCACATAAACCACCATGAAACTCCTCTGCTCCCCCTCGCCAAGCATGAACAAGGAGTGATCGGCCGTTGAGGGAGTGAAGCCGATCCCCTCCAACACTTCGCGCAGCTTCATGTACCATTGCCTAGGGGCCTGCTTCAGCCCATAGAGGGCCTTCTTCAGCTTCCACACTCTGCCACTACCATCATCAAACCCCTCTGGCTGCGCCATAAAAATCTCCTCCTCAAGGATGCCGTTAAGGAATGCCGTTACGATGTCCATTTGCTTTACTACCCATCCTTTGATGGCGACTCCCGCGAATAGGGTTCGCAGCGTCGTCGGCTTCACCACAGGGGCAAACAGCTCCTTGAAGTCCACCTTCTCCTTCTGCTGGTACCCCTTGGCTACAAGCCTAGACTTGTAGCGCTCGATCTTGCCGTCGGCATGCGACTTGATTTTGAAGAGCCACTTGGACGTTATCGCCGTACGCCCCTCCGGTAGCTCCACCAATTCAAACGTGTCATTCTCCTCGATGCTCTTCAGCTCACTCTCCATGGCCTTCTTCCACTCCTCAGCATCACTACTCTCCAAAGCCTCCTTGAGAGTTGCTGGTTCTCCCGGCATCTCCACCGGAGAGAAGAACGCGAAGGCACACTCCTCGTAGTCACTCTCCTCGTCGTCTCCGACCATCATTGCCGCTCCGGCCAGGGCTGCCTTGCCCTGCTTTCCCGGCGCATCGTAGGTCAGCCTATTAGGGGGTTGAACTCTCCTCTTCCCCCTTCCTTCCTCCTCAGCTGCAGAGACTTGAAGGCCTTGGCGTTGCTGCGGTGTGGCTCGAATCCGTGGAGCACTCGTAGTACGGGAAGGGAGTGACGGTGCACGCTCGCTCACTTGCTGCACCTCCTCCTCTTCTTCCTCTGCATCATTGGCCTCCTCTCCCCCATTCACAAGGGAGGATTGCCTTGTGGTTGTGCTGCCGCTGCTCAGCTCCAAAGGCAGCTCCACATGCTCCAAACCGGAACTCTTCACCTCCCCAAACCGCACGCCTATCTTCGCCTCATTCTCCGCCTTCCAATCCTTGTACATGAAGTTCTCCATGAACTTGCAGTCCCTGCTCACCAAGAACTTCTTGGTGAATGGGTCCCAAAGAAGCCATCCCTTGCTGTTTTGAGCCATGCCCAAGTGCACGGCCCACACCGCCTTGGCACCAAGCTTGTTGTGCCGAAGATGCTTAGGCACGAGCGCCATGCACATGCACCCGAACACCCGAAGCATATCCACCTTTGGCTTCCTTCCTAGCCACTCCACATAGGGCACCCATTTGTCTGCTCCCACATGACTCAAGGCTCTGTTCTTGGCCACACACGCGCTCCGCACTGCATCAGGCCAGAAATAGTCGGGTAGCCCGGCTTCAATGAGCAACCCGCGTGCCGCCTCCGTGATTGTGCGGTTCGCTCGCTCGGCGATGCCGTTCATTGCAGGGGAGTATGGCATGGTGAGGGAGTGCCGAATACCATTCTTCTTCAGCCACAACCCAAACTCCTTGCTCAGGAACTCTCCCCCTCGATCGGTGCGGATTGACTTGACTAGACGGTCTTGTTGCCGCTCCACCATCGGGAACCAATCCGTCTTCAACGTTTCAGCCACGTCGCTCTTCTTGGCCA